ATATTATACCATAACTGTTTCTGTGATCAGATTACTGTAACAGATTACCTAGATTCTTTTCAACTGCCAGCTTTGATACAGTTAATAAAACATGGTGCTGTGTTGGCAGAATCGCTTGGGAATCTCTCATTCTGGTTTTTTTTTTAAATATATATCTATATATATCAAATTTAAAATGTGATAAAATTATCTGATTACTGAAGCAGGCTCCTACCATACCAGATAAGCAGTGGATTGCTCAAGGCATTTTTAATCAGAGTTTTGCACCAGGAGGGATGTTCCTAGCTCTTGGAAGCTCAGCAAATCAGGTAGTTTGTCAACTGTAAGGGCCCTAATCCTATATCAATATCTGGTGGTGCACATCCTGGTGTGTGTGCAGAGATCCATTGAAAGGTGTCCTGCTCACCACAAGCTCACAGACTATACCCAGCAATCTGTTTCCAAACATACATTATATTTTTATTGCAATTTAACTATTCTCTTTTGACTGCAAAGTAGACTTAGATGGGATCTAGATCAAACAATAGAAAAGGGAAAAATCTGAGTATGGGTCATGAATGATCATATTAAAAACATTTTGGAAAAGTTCTATTGAAGTGGGGAGGGACACAGTGAGTTAGTCTAAGTCACTTTTTTTTTTAAAATACTGAGTTGTTGCATCTTGTTTTAAACTAGGCCCTGATCCTGTAAATATTGATGCACATGGCTAGTGCTATGAACTTGGTAGCACTACATAGGCATATAAAGCTGTATGGCGGTGCACATGTGTGTCTGCAGGACTGGAACCTTAGACTAAGATTCAGGCAGAGACTGTCCTACTACATGTGAGTTAGCACCGAGCACAATGGGAGGCTGATCCTGATTGGAGCCTCTGGACACTGCCATAATAAAACTAATAAACAGTAGCCTTGAAATCCGGGTACCACATAGCCATAGAGCCACGTATGTTCCTTATTACATTTTACAAATATTAGATATTACAAATATGACATTTTATCATTGAAAACAGCCAGATCCTAAACACCTTTGGCCATAAAGCACACACAGGAAAATTCTTAATCAATATGGCTTTTTTATTGATTGATTGCACTTAAAACAGGGAATACAATAGACTGACCAGCAAAATGAAAAAACATAATCAGAAAAGGCTTTTTAAGTCAGTGGCTCTGCCCTTGAGTCATCGGATTTTATTTCTTTTGAGATAATTATATATTTCACAGTAATGTAATATATAATATACCCTTGATGTGTGTGACCAGTTGAACAATACTTCATGAAAAATTATACATAACTTTCTAAATAGTTTATAAATCAGATATTTAGCATATACATTTTATTCCTAATTTTAGAATGTAAAAGTTCACCTACACAAGGTGAAAGATGGTATTTGTATAGGTGCTGGGTTTAAACTAACCAACCTTTCTCTACTCCAGCTCAGAGTGCAATCACTTATACACCGGAGTAACTTTACATGGGTGATTAGTACAACTGTGTCTTCACTGGGACTACTCATGTGTGATGCTACTCGTGCACGTAAGACCCTGCTCCTGCAAAGGCTTATGCACATGCATCACTTTCCACACTGAGTAATCCCAATGAGATCAATAGAACTACTCATAGTGTGTAAAATTTAAGGTGTGCACAAGTCTTTGCAAGATCAGGGACTAATTCTTTTCAAATATCAGAGCCCAAATGTGCACTAGCAAAAAAATGTTTGTTTTTGTTTTTCATGGAACAAAAGAAAATCTCTTCAAATTCACACATTACAAAACATTCTGCATGTGCATTGTACATGGCAATTTTTTTCCATTTATCCTGACCTGGAGCCTAACATTTGAACATTGGCTGAACAAACATATTAACAATGATATTCATTTAAAGTGAAAAGAACACTAATAGGACCTTTTCCAACCTTCCTGGCACTGGAAAGTATAACATCATCTGTTGGTAGGAGAAATGCACTGATTTTTTCAATATTCTCCGAAAACTTACCCAGAAGTGCAATTTAGAAGCTGCAGGAACTAAATGTTTTTGATAAAGTCATTTGGCAGGATAGACATAGTTGGTGGACTGACAATATTACACTTGTTATAGCAAGACACTGGTGATACACAGGCACAATAGGAAAGCAGATCAGAGCTATAAAAGGGACTACTTAGATAGTGGTAGTGAGAAGAGACTTCATGAGGCATTATTATGATTTTAATTATCTTTGGTTAACATATGTCTAAGAATGCGTTTAATTATTTTGTTCTGCTTTCCTGTGAGCATTAGGCAAACAAAAGAAATTTACCAGACTCCCTAGCAGCAAAGAAAACCGACTGTTGCAAAACTGTTTTTGCATACTCTAGAGATAAGCCTGGTCCCATTTATGTAAGTGCAAAAACTCCTACCGACTTCAATGGGGCCAAGATTTCACCCCTGAACTTTAAGCTGCTTATTCAAAGTGAACCTAAATAATGTCAATATTCGTGTCCTGAGCATGAATGTATTCAATAGTCAATTTACTAAAACCAGTAACTTAACAGCAACTCTATCATGCATGTAATTCCATGTAATTCAGTAGGACTTACTCAAACAAAGAGTCTTGGTTTCTGCAATTAAAGGCCCTATAAGAAATACTGGCCATCTTAATGACATCTTTGGCAAATAACTTCAGGAAAAAAATTACTACTGAACACTTCAGTGGCAAGGAACTCAGAGGTAGTTGGCAAATGTTTTTTTCTTCCTGAAGAAAATTGACTTTTTAGTGAAATATTTTATTCAAAAAAATTATTTTGATTCAGAAATGCTGTTGCAGTGCCACATGGGAGATGTAGTTCAGGTCCCTCATGCCCCCATTCTCCTCTATAGGCTGGGCTTCGTGGGCAGACTACATTTCCCCAGTGTATCACCTCCCTTCATAAGAGAGACAGAAAACAAGACAACAGTAATGAAAAATTTTATTCGATAGAAAATTGGATTTTTGACTAAAGCCAGTTTTGCTGGAAACATTTAAATCAGCCTTACTTAGTAACCTCTACTCCTTGTTTTTATACTGATAATATTTTTTAAAAAGCCAAACCATTTAAAGGGGAAGATTTTTTTTAAACTACTACAGTAAAACTTCTATCAATGTGAAATTAAGCCCTGTACAGTGTACCTAAAACCCACCTCTATATATTTCCTTGGGCAAGAGGTTATTTTTGTTTGCTTTTCTTTCCTAACTACTACATAATATAGCTTACACAATAGAAAACATGCTTTTATGAACATCAATGGAAATCAGATGAAGAACTTAATTGCCTGATTACATACCGCATCTGGAAAGTTGACTGCATCTGTATATCTCTTTGAGGCAAACAGGCCAAACATTGTAGATGTTAAGTTCTTGAGTCACATCTCCCCCTTTCCTAATGGATACAGGTGGATTTCACCCCTGTGCAGAGGGCCAGTACAAGCAGAAGCAGTGATAGCCCGTTGGGGGCCCTAAGCAGGAATATTTTGCCCCTCACACAAACACACACCACACATACTACTAAAGTGAATAGGGGGCCCTCTTGAGCTGCTTGAAGCCCTGAGCAATTGCTTAGTCCACTTATGCCTAGTGCTGGTACTGAGCACAAGTCTGTGTGTAACCCACACACCTTCTGGGTGTGGTGTTCTGTCCCATCTAGTGGCACCGAGACCACTTAGAGAGAGATTAAGGAGTCTGCTACAGCCTTAGCTAAGTGCTATATGGCTTTTAGCTCATGTGGTAGAGACTCCTGCACTAAGCTCCAGAGGCCCCACGTTCGATCCCGCCCGCCAACGACCAGGGTCTCTCGGTGTTACATGTGCACCACATACATCTCATTAAACCCTAGCCCATGGGGCTCAAGTAGGACCTTAGGTAGTGCTTGGGGCTTTCATGAGATGTGAATGGTGCAGCCTCCTTGTTCAGGCCCTGTATACAAGAGTGAAATACACCCCATGTGTGTAAATGTGTGCCTGTTAGGAACAGGAATCAAGACTACACATAATAATGCAGTTATTCTAGTGTTTCCCAATGACAGGGATTCCCTGACCTAGCCTCATTTCTACTCATAGATTTTCGCCATACGGTGCTACAGACGCCCTCCAGGTTACGCAAACCCGACTTACGGGAAAAGTTCCGGAAGCTACAAACAGGTTTGGGGGGGGGGGTAACTGTCGGGTATACATTCCCGACTAACGCAAAATTCGAGTTATGCAATGCATTCCGGAATGGAACGCTTGCGTAAGTCGGGGAGCGTCTGTATTAAGGCACTCTTGAAGAACGCCCAGGATTTGACAAGTAATCTTTGTGTTTAGTCAATGTGGATGGAAACAATGAGGAGCTACTCCAACCTCAGGCATTGATCTGACTTCTTAAATTGAATTTATATAAGATCTAGTGTCTTAACATCATGCAAAATCATTTATGGCATGCTGTGCAATGACAACGCATGTTATCAAAATGCTGTATTGCACAGGAGATCAGCGCTGGCTACGTAGCAGTTCTCATGAACTAAAGAAATCTGGAAGGACTGAATTTTGTATGGGAACATTTTGCTAAGCCCTCCTGCAAAGCAATAGATTAAAATTGGATTCTACCATTTTGCTCTTGCTAAACTATAAATCAGGAAGTAAAATGAGTAACGGCAGCAATCCATCAACAGCAATCCAATCATGGAGTGTCAATTTTTTTCCTGAATCTTCTCCTTTCTCTTGTCCAATTTTTAAAGCTTCCAAACCATAAACAGACAATGATTAGATCTGTGCAGGTCACCCGGCCAGATGATGAAGATGCATTAAAAAAATAAAACCTCTCTATATTGCTGAATGTTGCTCTGAAGCTGTAGCAGTGGATTAGAGTTCAGAAACAGCAGTTTATATATATATATATATATATATATAAAAAAAACCCCTCTCTTGGCACCGGATTTAAAAAGACCATCTACCATAGCCGACAGGATTCTGAACCTCTATTCATGGTTGAATTTCCGTGGCAATTGAAAGCTTTACGGAACTCCTCGAAGTTGCTCATTGCACCAATAACTCTAAAGAAAGAAACAAAACACAACATCTGAGTTATTTGAAATTATACATCCCAGATCCTGCAGAATTCTGCTGAACTTTAAAGTTTCAGATTTGTTTCTATTTGTGGAAGTTACATTTTCTGTTCTCTTTATTCTCAGGCATTGGAAAAGTTTTGAATTTCAGGGAAAGTTTTCCTCTAAATTAACATAGGGCCAACATTGTTTTACCCAAAGCATTGAGAAGGACCTCACTCTGCAAGAAACTCCAGTGAAGTCAGTGGGATTTTGTAGAATAAAATGCTATTTTACAGAGTAAGGGTATCCAAATCTAGCTCATAGCATTCAGAAAAGGTGCCAGATTAACAGGCTAATGGAATGTAATTTGTCTTTTGTCACTCAA